GTATACTCTAGCGTTAAGCACCATGACACCCCTGGCCCTGTGAGCCAGGATCGGCATCTCTGCACGAACGCGAGTGCTCTGCTGGCCTTAGTTGCATTGCGCGGCGGCCTCATTTGGCTCGAGAAGAACCCCACATGGCTGAATTTATACGCAGAATCAGGTTTTGCAGGATCCGTAGGGTTTTGAGAAATCTCGGAATCAAAACAATTTTCGATGCCTTCACGCAGCTAGAATGGATGTTCGGGATTTGACTTTCAGGGTCAGAACCTAGGTTTTCCCGAGCCACATCAAAGGTGATATGTGTAAAAATAGGTTTACTGGCACTTTTATGGCGTCGACTTCTGCCGTTCATGCCAGTGGCAGTGGGCAAAACATCGTTCCTGAAATAGCGCGAGGTGCTTTTGACAAAAAGCTTGCAAATCCTTGGATTTGGACAGAATACCCAAAATTAGTTTTTAAAGTTCCATAGAGTTTTCACAGTGGTTGAAATCAAAATCGTGATTGAGGCATGCATGCATCTTTAGTGATTTTCTGGATTGTGATTTTTGGCCCGAAACCTAGGTTGTTCAGAGCCATCGCGAGAAAAAACAATTTTGAAACTAGGTTGATGGTGAATATTGCTTCTAGATGTAAAGTAAACGCAGGACGGCAGAAGTGAAAAACATGAAAGATGAATGTTTTTTCGGTTTTTCATAGTGCTTCCAGCTAGTGAAAAGGTACGCTGAATTGCTTATATGAATCAAAAAATTCAACCGCTTTGTTTCTAAGCCGACCGCAGGCCTGCTGTCAAGAACGTCCCAACAGCTTGAGCGCGAGAAATCCGACACATAGGTATTGCCTTGTTGTTGCAAGTAAGTCACGCGCAGCGGACCCATCAAGTCTGCACTCACTACGGCCACGTGAGACTTGTCCGGACCAGGAGCCCCCGCTTCTCCTTGGCATCTCACACGTGATATAGGCTTCTGTGCTGGAGCTTTTGTCCGTGCCGATCTTCCGGCAAGCTTTCTGTTTGGAACTGGAGTGGGGCTGCGCGCCCCATGGCATCCTGCCTTGTATTTGCAAGTGGGGGGGCTGCGGCCCCTCCCAACCCCCGCGCTTTCTTTCTAAGCCGGCCGCAGGCCTGCTGTCAAGAATATTCCAAGAGCCTGCAGCAAGAGAAGATCCTACAAATGGAAATTGCCCAGTCATACAAGCATTCTGTTCGGAAATCGAATGGGGCTGCACTCCATCCTGCCAAGAAACAGAAAATACTGTAGATGGAACCTTGCAGAACCCGCGACGCAGACATGGTGTTTGCAAAAAAAAGGTGGGATCGGCTTTTGTGCTTGAGCTTTTTTCCATGTCGATCTTCCGATTCTCTTCAGTCGCCGTCACGCAATTTTGGAGTTTGAGCCTCCGCAACATCAGTCGCGGTGACAATTAAAACGCCGCGACGTCAGTAGTGGTGACAACGAGAAAGCCAAGCATGGCTGCAAGAGCTCAAAAATCGGGAACGCGCACATGCCGACCATGTCTTCCATTCTGCCTGATAGTTTGGTGTCAAAGACTGCATTCACAGCTCATGCAAGCCGTGCCAACTTGCTTTCAAGAGCATCACGCATTCAAAGATTTGCGTCAGGTATAACTTTCAAAGCATTTTTCAATCAGAACTCATCATACGGGCATCCTGTCTGGAAATGGGGTGGGGCTGCAGCCCTCCCCAACCCGCTGCTTGTTTAAGGCATGCAGGCTCATTTCGAGTCCTGACTGCCAGCATCAACCGAACCCATATGGACCCTTTCAAAACTCGTGATCTTGTGTTTGCAAATGGGGAGGGCTGGGCGGAATACGAGGGGTCGGGGCCAGAAAAGACACGCACGCCGGGGGGCTGATTGAACATGTGGGGGTGAAAAGAAACGGTTGGGGACACTCACATGGTTGGGGGCCAAAAAAACAGTTCCCCAAGGAGAGGGGGGAATCGTCCAGTACCGGGTGCGATTCCGTATTGAAGAAACAGTATCAGTTCTCAGGGTGGTCATGGCATAAAGCCGCCCACCTCGACTCATGGTCGACTCCAACGTCCCCTTGTTTTTCTGTAACCGCTCATCGAATCCGACAATTTCACATGTGTTTGCGTGGTCGGCGCGGCTGACGGCATTGTTTTCGTCACCGAGACGCAGTCTCTGCCGGTGCATCGAGTGTTTTTTTCATTGGGCCCACGCCGTCGGACTTCTGCTGCGCCCTCTTCATCGCTTTTTATCCGTCGGAAAACAAAGAACCGCTCGCACCTGCTTCTGCTGTGCGACTGCATTTTGGCCTTCGGAAACGGACCTGTGCCTTTCGGCCCACGAGTAAAACTGCTACGACGACTGCAAAAGAGCATACAAAATCCGAACACACGCACCAAACACCAACCAAAACGCACACTCTCCAGCGAAGCAGTATGAAAACCCGAAATCACATGACTTCGCCATGCACTAGCAAAGGTCCTACAACACATTACAACACGTGTCCTGGCAGGATCCTTACGGCCTGCTTTTCTTTCCGTACCAAGCCGTGTTGATGCTGAGCAAACGAGGTCAATGAGCAGGATTACTTTTGTCGTGTGTTATTAGCATAATTACTGAATTACTGGAGGAATTTATGCGCTCGAGTTGACAGGGCAAGACTTTCATGGTGGCGAATTCTTCATAAAGAGGATGAACAGTGGACAGGCCGGAGCCTTGTGGTCGAAGCTCTTCATGGTTGGTCATGGAGCAGATAAGGTCGTCGAGGTGGCATCCACGGAGGGCGATCTGATTCTGTTTGCAGCCAATAAAGCTGCCGTGCACGGCACGGACTTCAAGCATGGAGCGTGCCACCTATCAGTAGATTCAGATCTGCTTTTGCCAATGCATTGGAGTTGAGCCAGCTCCTGAGGTGAGAGAAGTGCGTGGCACTCGTTTCTCCGCAGCTTGGGCTGCAAGACAGAGGCAGCACCCCACAATACCGGTAGCGTTGCTGGGCGATTCCTTGTTTACCACCCTCTCTCTCTGATTGAACGAGTGAAGTCGCAGAGGTCGGGATTGTATTCAACCTCCGCAAGTGAGAAGGAGATGAAGAGGTCAAGATCAAGTTCGGCATGCCGCCCATCAGTGAAGGATGTGCGATGCGGAACACAGGCGGCAGCATACTTCTGGTACGCAGCCGCCGGCCAACTCATGGCATCAAACTTCACGAGGCAGAGCAGCCTGCAGGTCGACGCTTGCGCCACTTGCGCTCACGCAGTACATGAGTGCTCGCGGATTCGCTTCTGCCTCAGAGGCAAAAATTTCCAATGAAATCGAGGACCTTCAGCCATGACATTTACGCCTCTCCGTCTTGAAGGCAACAAGGAACGACATCGCGGAACTGCAGGCTTCGTTTGTTGCCTGCAGCTGTCTGCTATCCGCTAGCCAACCCATGCCAAGGGTTCAAGTGTTTAAAACGAGTCTCAGTTTGCAAAGCCCACTGGATCAGACTCTCGAAACCAAAAAAAAGCTGAACGGATAAGTGGTCAGTCTCGCGTGGTGTTTTCGTGCCAACGTGCTTATTTCGACCAAGCCTGCAGCACAATGCCTTCTTCAAGGCACCCGAGGCACGATGAGGCATGTGCAGATGTCTTTGCTGGCTGAGGCTAGAAATCACTCGGAGAACCTGCTGTTGGCTGCCTCGGCATTGTCCTGGGCAGTGTGCCAGGTGCCAGTGCATGCTGAATTGTGTCACTTGCTGTGGGTTCCTCTCCAGGTGTTGTATTGGGACATGCCGGTGCAGAGGGCCGTTGCTGTGAACTCATCTGAATCGAGCAGTCTCCCAAGCAGTTCAATTACTCCAACATCACTTGGGTGCGCGAGGCTGAGCTCATGGTTTGCCAGAACGAGCGATGGGAGCAGATGACGTGGTGCAGGTTGCAGTTTGATCTTTCCCGGGTCTCTTACTTAGCCGACTTAGTCGCCCAGTGTGCAGGCAACCATATCGTCGTCGTCGGGTAGTTCGTGAGTCGTGGACGTTGCTCAAGCAGGCATCACACGTTGACGTACGGTGGCTTTTAAACCTGACCGAACTATCACAGAGCCTTGTTCGTTGCACTTGCCATTGCAGGTGCTGTACCCTGCACGAACTGCAGTTGACATTGACCTCCTGCTCAATGAGGCTCCCTTTGCAAACTTTTGAGAATGGCTAAAGGAGGAGCGCGATTCTTCTCACACATTTGTCAGGAGGTATACTCCAGGCTTCTGGGCGAGTTTGAGCTGGTGAATGCCAACATTGAGTTTGGACATCCATTCCAGGTGAAACGCTGGAAATTCTGAAACACTCCCGACCTTTCTTCAACATGTTTGGCCTTTCCTCGCGACTGCTTGTGCAGGCCGCCTTGGCACGCGAAGCGCTCTTGCCTTTGTCAGATGCATTGCGGCGCGCTGGAGTCTGGCAGGCGGTGGCGAAGGCAGGGGGTCGGATGGCCCGCACATCACTGCATGCCAATCACGTAGCCTGCCATAATGTGGTGTCCCCCGTGTTTTGAAGCAAATGGTCATTTTTGCAGGTTCAGTTCAGTTTTCACTTTCCAAAAACGCGGAACCCAAGCATGGAACCCCACAAAGAGTGGGTGAGGCAAGGCTGTAGGCTGTAGAGACGGAGCCAACAGTCTGCTTAAGCGTTATACTGAGGGCTAGTGCGCCGGGAGAGCACAACGAAGCTGTTTGTCTTCTTGTCTGCAGCCTCCTTTGCGCACAGGGACATTCAAGATGTCAGCATGCTCCCTTCGTACCTGACTGCGCGATGCAGCTGCACAGCCGTGGTCGAATCTTCCAGGGAGAAAAGGCTAAGGGCCTCCAGTGATCGCACCTTCCATGCGCATCCATGCGCCTTCTTGGCTGGAGGTGCAACTCGTGTGGCCGCCGTTGCTGCTGTGGGTCGCAAGCTGTCTCGTCATGGAGGTGCCCGAACGCGCCTTCTTGCTGCCTCTCAGTTCATTAAGGGTGCCAACGACGTTACTGAGGAGCCCCTCTTTTGCACGGTTCTGTCGACACAGGAAGACTGGCGAGCTGCAGTCGCAGAAGTCACGGCTGAAGCATCGTATCAACTGCGAAGTCGCCCACGCAAATGCTGGGACTTTGGTGTAGTCTATGTTAGCGGCCACCATGACGTCTCAGTCACCGACATTACCATGACTTTGGACCGCAACCTGGGCACCAGTGGGGCGTGCATTGGAGCTGCGGTGAATGGATGCGGAGGTCCTGGCACGGATCACCACCGACGTACTCATACAGGCAGAAAAACACCAGTGATACAACTGATAGCCGTGCAGCAGCCTCATAAAGCAAATCCATCTGCCTCCAACGGTTCACCGGCAGAGTTAGCGGGTGCAAAGCCTTTCTTCGTGGGGCAAAGGGAGCTGCAGGAGATATCGGGGCTGGTCTGCCAAATTCAAGGCCGCACGCGAGTCATAGGTGCACAGGAGCCGCCCCTGCCGCGAGCGTGGCGAGAGTACTTGGGGATAGCTGAGAAGGAGGAGGCCCGTCCACGAGGCATCCTGCTCTTCATTGACCCCTTGGCATCCAAATACGTGGTCGGGACAGTGCTCAGTGCTCTGGACCTGGCATTGCCCAATGCCGTGAAATGTGGTGCTGTTTGTGCGGACCTGCTGCCATCGCGGCGGCGTGTGGCTGTAGCTGGATACGAGATGCGGCGTGGGATCAGCAGTGCTGATGATGTGCCAGCTGGCGTTGCGGGCCTGCTGCTGCCTCCTGATATGTCTATTCACAGCATGGTGTGTTCAGGCAGCAGCAGGGTAGGCCCAGAGCTGCGGGTGACAGCAGCAGACGGCCAGGTAATCAAGATGATGCAGTCTGAGGATGACATCGAAGCCCATCCCGCAACGGAGATGTTGGAGGCCGTATGCAAACACGCGAGTCCAGTCCAGCAGCTTCTCATCGAGAAGGGAGGGTACCTGCTGGGTTTGGAAGCGCCGCGAGATCCCTTGGACCCAGATAAGTCGAAGGTCTATGATGACGTTTGGGGGTCCTCGGAGCGAGCTCCCTCATATTCCTCCTTGCGTCGCCAGGCAGCTGCTTGTGACTGGTTGGTTCGATCTTTGGAGCCTTTGCCTGGTGGCTCGGTTGTAATTCGACGGGAAAATTTAAAGCGGATCCCGCCAAGAGTCGGCCCGGCTTGGGTTCGATGTCAGGTGCATGTCTTTGACGAAAGACAAGGCAGACAGGAGCTGCAGCTGATGCTGCAACGGTACATGGGTGCACGCATGACCTTGCCGACGCCTGCAGGAAAGCCTTTCGGTGCCATGATCTTCACTTGCAGGTCATGGTTTGCACAGGCCGAGGACGAGGTCGGCGTGGCAGAGGTGTCGGCGGCATTTGACCCGCCACCCACAGTGGTAAGTGTGAATGTGTGTGGTGAAGTTGCGCATCCTGGAATTGCACTCGGTGGTGTTGACCAGAAGCGGACGACCATCCAGGCACGCTTGCACAAATTTTGAGGGTGACAAGAACGCTTCAGAGACTTATTTCGGTTTCTTCGACAGAAGTCAACTGGGACACGTGGGCTTTTCAAACTTTGTGTAGCAGTCTGTTCAAGCGCGGCAGTTCTATAGAAAGTCGTGAGGCACCTCCCAGCATCCAGATGTTAGGCGTGGAATTAATGATTCATGATGGTTTGCTCCACAAACCTCGTCGTGAAGCATTTCTCTGCTCTGGCAACAAGCAGCCAGACAACAGAGTTCGAACCGATCTATGAAGTGCAAAATTGTTTATCGAAAGCAGCCGTAATGAAGGAAAAGTGGCCCAGAGATGACTTGGCGAGAGTCTTGTGTTCACTTTAATTACATGATCAAAAGCCAGACAAACCTCGTCATTTGCTGTTCTCTTTCACGGCCACGGCCAAACTGCTTGACCTTTGCAGGGGTGTTTGACCGATTTGACTGTCATGTTGCCCTGCTGCATTCCGCAGTGTCCAGGGGCACACCGCCACCTGCTGCTTCTTGAGCTACGAACCAAGTGCTTGATTCGAAAACTTTCTGGATGCACGCGCCAGATGTGCACAGCCGAGTGCGGGATGCAGTGTCAGCACTACAGTCTGACAGAGTTGCTTGCACAGACAATTCATTTGCTGTAGAGTTTCTTGCATGATAAAAGATCCTCAGTTGATCTTACGATGCTTCTTTTAAGTTAGGGTCTGTTGCCGTGAGCGAGCCGTAAACTACCAGCCATGGCTTCATGACTACGACGCGAAGTGTGCATAAGCAGAAAGATTCATAGCTCACGGGCGAGTGGGGACACAGACAGTGATTTCTATGAATTCTCCAGTGCTGTATGGCATGGCCAAAGAGCTTAAGGCTGGCTAAGTTTTCCAAAGGAAGATGCCTGTCCGCATGAAATAGCTGCGAAGATTCAATGTGCCGAACGGCCAGCTACTGGCCGAAAGGACTTCTTAGCGGGGTGGTGAGAAAAAGGGCCCGCAGAAAGCGGAAGCGGAAAGCATGTTATCATGCTGGGATAGTCAGGCCCAGCGATGCTCTGGCCCATGCAGGTCATGAGCTGTCAACACGAGGCTTGGTCTGTCAAGACAGCATGCGCAAACCTGCACAAGCTTGGACATTCTCTGTGCTTCCCGCCTGCTTCTTTGCTCAAGAGAACGACGCTGTGTGTGCTTGTTCCCGGCCAGAGCAAAGGAAGCCTTGGACTCAGCGGATACTCAAACTCAAAGGGAGAAAGGCAGCTTTCTGCATCCAGGCCATGGCTTCGAGGGGCATCGTACAGGACCTTTCCGATGAGACGAGAGAGTGTAGGAAGCATGTGCAAGGGTGTCGGGGACAAGTCTGAGCACGTAGGTGAAGCCCGAAGAGCCCCAAGGTTTCTGAGACGGATGCCTTTGTCTTTTGTGGACTTGTCTCTCAAGCCACGCAGTTTGGTGCCGACGGCTTCGGCATTGACCAGAATGCCCTGAAGCGCCACGAGGCAGGACACAGGCGAAGGCAAAGCCTCGAGCTCTTGCAGCGCTCCGCTGAGCCAGGCCGAGCAGAAGGTCAAATGCGCCCGGTACCTTCGGCACCTTGGCGGTGCTCAGGAAACTCGTGGCAGTGTGTGCAGGTGTCGTGGCATGCAGCACCTGTCAACAGCTTCAGATGATTGGCAGGTTTGCTTTTTGTGCACATGCAGTCGTCTTGATTCTGATCAACATCATTGTGTGGGCCATCTGGTTTATTCTGAGGCGCTGCATCTGACCGGAAACGGAAACAGTGCAGCAGTGCTCTTGGCTGCCTGTTGCACAGGTCGAATCAGAAAGGTGGCACATACCAGTGGCCGCTCTGGCCATGGCCTCAAAGTTCAGGTGCCTCAGTGCTCCGGTAGTCTCCGACACGACGTGTTGTGACTGTGACGGCTGAGGGTGACTCTTGGCTCAGTGGTTCTCCTTGTCGCGCTGCTTGGATGTGTCAGGTTGGATTTGCCCAGCATGCCCAGACGAATGCCAAAACCAGAAGGGTTGCAGCGGGACTGTTGTTTTATTGGGCATGTGCTGACTGGCATGTGCTGACTCCTTACGGTGTTGAATTTCCAAGCCTTCCGAAGTAGGCAGGCATGTCGTGCTGTTTGCAATTCCAACGAGGCACCTTTTGAGCATGCTTCCCTATGCAGTCTGCAAGCCGAGCCACAACTGCTGCCTGGCAGAAAGACTAGAACTGGACGGCAACGTTCCTGTACTTCCTCGGAGGTCCTCGCTGGGTCTGGGTGATCCTATTGCCGCTTGATTGAAGCGAACCTGCTCTTCAGAGGTGCCGAGGCCCAGGAACTGCAGCTAGCACGGCTTGCTCGCAGGAACATTGCTCTGGTCAACATCGTCTGCTGGGGTGTCTATGCGACGGCAGAGCAACAAGCTTGCCCCATCAACAATCCCCATTGTGACTTACTTGCGACAAAGCGGAGTTGCTGCTGAGGTCACGAAGTAGCTCGGCCTCTTCTCACATTGCATGATACTGACCATGTGGACATCAGGTGAATACCTGTGGCCAGCATGGGTTTCTGGTGCGACGGTGTTGGGTGGCATTGTTGCTTCTCGCCTGCTTCACGATGCCAGAGACTTTCGGAAGCTGAGCAGTTCAGCATCAACATGGCAGCTGTACTCAGTACAGTTTCAAGGTGAGTCTGCTGCCGTGCCTCATTGGAGCTATATTCGGCATCCACGATGATGTCGGGGACCGGTGCCTATGCCTGCCAAGAGCCAATCAAACGTGCTCTTGTCCTAGTTTTGCCACGGTTGTCAGGACAGTGAAGCCGAGGGTATGATGTACTCGCTTGCAGCTTGGGAGGTTCCCAACTGTTCTGGAGTGGTGAGCATGGCATGGCGATCTCCCAGGTCAGAATCCGATTGAAGCAGCTTTCCTCCGGCAAGATCGCGGCTTCTCCCGAAGATGTTGGTAGTCGTGTCTGAGGTCAAGCCATGTCAAGTTGATATTATGAAGTTTTCGTTAGCCGTAATTTGTGAGCTGCCATATGCAATGTGCAGAGGTGCCAGTCTGCATGCAGCCAATAATCTCAGACCCATTGGGGTCGTCTGAGCATAAAGCCAGATGCCGTGAAAGAGCAGCGCTTGAAAATGCCAGACTGCCATCAGTCGTCGCATCAGCATTTGCTCGGGAAGTTTGCTCGAAGTGGGGAAGACTTCAAGAGACAGGACTCGTCAGTATCTTTGTGCTCTGTCGATGACGATGCCCCCACACAGGAGGCCAACTAGCTTGACCTTCGGCAGTTGATCATTGTAGCAGCGCAGCAGCTTTCTGAAGGATCTTCCTGTGGTGCTGGGCATTGGTCTGGCCCGGCGAATTGCCCTCATGAACCATTCCTGCAGGTACGCTTGGACCAGACACACAGGACGAGTCCCTGCGTTGGCCCCAATGTGCTTATGAGAAGCATCCTTCCTTGCAGGCCGAACTGTGAAATCGATTACAGCAGGTGGCCCAAGGTATTGCAATTGCAGAACTTCATGACGCAAACTTGCTAGCACTGCGTTTCTCGCGTGTTGCGGCTTTTTGCCAATAACCCGAAGCTTTTTATGAGGCAACAACGGCACGGCCATTGTCGTGGCACTTCGCGAGCTTCGCGCGGGCGAGGATGCTTCCTTCGATCAGTGGGCTGCTTGTTTCTGGCTTTGCTTCATGCATGCCGTGCTACTGAAAAAGGAGTTGACTATTAGCTACGTGGACGAACAGAGCTTGCCAGTGCGCAGACGTCGTCGCGCTCTTTGGCTGTCTGGCACTTAATGAGGCTCACTTCAAGAAGACTTTCGGAAACCTCTTCTCCCCTCCCCCAAGGATGCAGGCCCCTCTCTCTGCAATGAGGCGGGTGTTTGACCGTATCGTCGTCGTCGTCGTGCCGGTGGCACTACTACAATCACAGTGGCATTAGCAGTAGAAGTGGCGGGTAGCAATAGCAGTAGGAGCAGCAGCACTAGTAGTAGGAGCAGTAGCACTACTAACATGCTCTCTGTTAGAGCAATCTGAATGAAGGTGGCCTTGTGAAACGTCCGGCTCAGCCGCCTGTGTGCAGTCGCCTGTGGCAATGCGCTGCTCATTGGAGCTGCGGCTCGGGCGCCGCCTTCGATACCCGTTAATGATCCCGCCTCGACAGGCTTCTCTTTATAAACTTATCTCGGTATTGACCCGGTCTTGGCTTGTCCCAGTGACAGCCGGCCAACGGCCGCCCAAAGGGGCTACGCCAGGACGCCTCCGGACTTGAGAGACGTAGAGTAGCACTAGCAGTCGCTGTGGCAGTGCAGTCGGAGCGGCAGCAGCAGCAGCAGCAGGAGCAGGAGCAGGAGCAGGTGGCAGGTAGCAGGTAGCAGGTAGCAGTAGCAGTACCAGTAGCAGCAAGCAGACATGACATAATACCGTGTCTATTGCCTTGGGGAGAGTTTCTACTTGCTTGCGGCAGCTTGAATCTGGACATGCGGCGGAACAACAGCAAAGCCATCGGCCGGTGGGAGCACACCACGACCGCTCCAACACTAAACGTCAAGACCCTGAACCCGGTGGCATGTGTATTTACGAGATAAACTTATTTCGTCAGTACTTCATCAACACCTAAATCCAAAGTTTCGATTGTTTAGTTGTTTCAGGAAGACCGAAACTGCAATGAAGCGAAGCAAGGACTAGGAGAATAGATGGTCCTAGGCATCCGGCATTTATTCGGTTTTTGGGTAATGATGCAGCATTTTTTGTTACACTTCACTTCGCATATTCCCGGGACCATATGCATATTCCCGCGACTTTAGCCCAAAGGCCATGCTGCATCTGACCATTCCAGTACATGGAGTTTACAAGAGAGAAGGCAATCTATATACACATTAAGCGAATAGGTCACTCATCTAGGAATCATACTGTGGAAGATGACGTGGCTCCTATTGGGGTTACAATAGCCAATGGCTCAGTACTCAGTAGGCGTTCTCAACATTGGAATGTCAAGCTACGCAGAAAATCGAGATACGACTGACAAGAACTAATTGTAAGGGAATTCGGAATCTTTGTTTACAGCTTGGTTAGGTTTCATCACTTGGTGT